CAAAAACATTATACCCTGATTTCCCATTTTCAATGGGTTCAGGGTATAAAAACGTCAATGCAAATGAAAAGTTTTAAGAATCACCAGCAATCCAGATATGCTAAAAACAATTGTTGTCAGACCGGTTCAACACCCAAAAAAGGCCCAACTTTGTGGCCAACATGCAGCTGTTAATTAGGCATTTATTTGAATACATTTTTATTAAGTACCCGGGCAAACAAATATAGTAAACACAGGCATCACGGAAACAGGCAACAGAACTACCTGACAAAGATGAAATAAAACAAAATAACGGAAGTTGCGCATTGGGTTTTTGCGCTTGTTTTTTTTGCGAAGGTTGCAACCGGTGTCGGTGAATGGTGCACCTCAAGTGCACTTTCACAGGCGATCTAATGATCGATTTATCGATACATAGATTGAGGCATTGCGGTCAATAATTGATTGGCCATTGACCATTGACTAGTGAGCAAAGTCGCCACCATTTGTGGGTCACTGTTGCGTGCCAGGTATCGCGTGGCTAGCTTGCTTTGACTCAACAAAAACCAAAATAAATAGCAAAAAAACGAGAGATAGATTAACTTTGCCTACACGAAGTCTAAATACCCTTGCCTTATATGAACTATGCAATCTTTCCCTGAAATAAGATAAGTCTTTAAGGACTAATATAATATATATAGAGAACCTGAGATTTGATCGATTATTGTTAAAATACGATCAATTATCAATCATCTCGTTTTTTTTTTTAGTTTCTTAGAGTTAAGCTAACAAACATATTTCAAGTGCACGATCAAATTATCGCTAAAGGAAAGATGAGACCATTGCCAAGTCTCGCAGTTGTGTTACACTTTTCGTGAGCAGCTGATAATGACCCCCTGGCAAGGGTATTATACATAGTTATATATAGCCAATCGTTAGATGTTTTCTATATACTGATATACACATACAAATGTATGTATACATTGCTATATATGCACATGTTTTGCTTAATTTTATTTGTTTTGTATATATATACACCAGACTCTCTAATTGTTGATTGTAAAACGTTTTTCGCGAACCTTTCCAACGTGTAGTCCGAGGGTATTGAGCATATTTTAACCTTCGCACTTGGGGCTTTGAGGTCAACGGCTTATCGATGCAGAAAAAATGTTGAATTTTTGAATAGATTTACATGTTTATAGCTTATTAGCTAAATAATTATAAGTTCAATAAAAAATCATTTAATATTTCAGTACTGCCGTTAGAAAAGGTTATTAGTACGATATTGATTTACTGTTATATATCTATGACTCACATACCTGCTTTTTTCATTGATTTGTTAAGAAAGACTTGTTATTATTGTTCATTTTTTAAATTATTCTATTTTTGTTTTTGTTTTAATATTTTATAATTTGCTTCACAAAATCTGTAATATATACACGATAAGCCAGTGAGCAATGACACTGACATATTGCCAATGTCAGATAATCCTAATGAGCTCTACTTAAAAATGAAAAATATTTAGCTTCGAGCTGAGATTTACTTGAAGCTAAAATATTTCAATTATTAAGTAAAATGAGTAACATAATACTAGAGAGACTTTCTCTAGTCTCGTAAATATAATAGAGAAAAACCTGTTTCATCAAATGTGTATTCAAAGCCCGTTGTTAGGAAAAGGTTTGCCCAACATTTACTTTGTATATATCAACAGATGGTTGCATATGTATATTTTGTGAATACACCTGTGAATAATATATACATATATTCTATTTATTTATAAATCTTCTTGTCCAACATAAAACTTTCGAAGACGTGAGACTTTATGAGTAAATAAATAGTAATTTTCTACTTATTTATATGAAATTCTTATTAATGAAGATGTAAACAATTAATATAATTATATTTATTGCAGGCAGCAACAAGTGGCTCTTTAGGCTAGCACGTGGAAGGCATGAAAGTCGATTACTTATTGTAACCGTAACTTAAATAATATGGATATATGTATATAAAAGTATAAATTCACATGTATAACTACATAGTATATCTTCATGCAAAAATGTATCTGTTTGCATATACATATACATATGTATATGCATAAACATGTGTACGACACTATATCAGCATTCGATTCGGATTGCGTGGTTTAAATTCCACTTGATCAAGACAACGATGAAATGGAAACGATGTTTGAATTTGGTTAGCGTCAGCTTTTTCAGAAGTTGAAGAAAAATGAGAGCAATAAGTAAACCACATACACAGAAGCTGTGAGAAAGAAGAGACTGAAGCATTGGAAAAAAACAAAACCGTTAGAGTCAGCAAAAACCATCAACACTTTTCGGCATACGTGACAATATAGCAACTCTAAATGGCGGCCAGGCTATTTTTTCAATGCTACAGGGAATGTACTCTCTATTGAGTGGGGGTGAAAGTCGCATAGCAAATTGAATATGGAAATGGCAATGGCTATATATTTATGTTGAAGGATACGTCTACACTAGAACTGATTTGCGTTGTACATTATGAAATTACCAATAATTGAACTTGAATTGAAAAGGTGATAACACGAATGCGGCAAACCCAGCGAAGAAAACAGAATGGCATAATCAGCTGATAGATAGCATACACTCGCACGCATGACACGTACAGCCCGTTAAACATGGCCAAAAAAATACATACATATATATATATATATATATATATATATATATATATATATATATATATATATTTATATATATATATATATATATATATATATATATATATATATATATATATATATATGCACATACATAGAGACGGTCACATTCATAATTGAAAATAGTCTAGAATGTCTATTTTAAATGTCCCGAATTACATAACCATAAAACAAGCGCAATGTATGCCAAATTGATGGCAAATTGATTTCTATTAACGGGCCACTTTGCTTTGCAATCGGTCGAACTGTCAGGTGCACGGACAGCGTTGCCACAGAAATTTTTTTTATCACATTCCTAACCAATATAAACTGGAACGCTACTCAATTGTGTAATAGCCCGATTGCCATTATTTCTGAAGGAATAGACTTACCCCAGCCAATTGGAGATGCGACAGCTACTGGCGAACAAAAATTAGAAACTATAAACAATACAGCCAAAACCAGCTGTTGCAATGAACACAATTTCATTTTATATATAAATTTTGATATATGTAAATCGGAAATGGACGCACGACGATATTTATATTGTGCTTAATCCTTTTGTGAGCTCGCTCTTGCACGTGCAACTTGGAGTTTAAAGTAAACGTCGAGCGGGAAGCATGCGGTGCTTAATTTTACGTGAAAATTCACCGTCGGTTTTCAATAGGTACCCGATGTACCACAAGCCCGAATCACTTAATTTACTAAAGTGAATTGAACAGCCGCTACCCTAGGCGGCCTTATATTGTGCATTTGATATTTTTTAGTACATTTTAGCTGACAAAGCGTTGCCCTATCGTTGAAAGAATGTGTAATTATAAATAAAATGTTTCGTTCGAAAAATTCGTGAAGTGAAAGCCACATCATAGCGGTAACTATTTTATCGTTAAATATATATAATAATATGCCCCCCCAGCAGGCCGCAAGCATCTAAATTTAGTTATGGATGGTATATATCGATTACTACCGGCATGCATTTTAAATATGTCGTTTAGCAAGTCGTATCGTGTGTGGGGATCTAGTGTTCGTATACCAGGAGAAAGTGGGACTCGCGCATTGCTTTGCAAAATCAAACTTTAATATTTAAAAACAAATGCCATGTACAAAAATGTGCTAAAAGGAGGTATACGTACAGCAAAGCAGGCCTGGAAATTCCGAAACGGTAATTAAACTCACAAATTTTCATTTAATATTTTTTGGATAAAAGCAGAATAATTCGGGCTGCATAACACGGACTCACATCAGCTGTGCGCGGCCCAATTCCTAAACGTACCAAGCGGAAGTGGGTCACACTGAAAGCTTGTTGTTTTTTTTTTTTTTTTTTTTTTTTGCCACTAGTAGAAGCCGCCAGCAGTTGCCTGCAGTACTTCATACAATCTCTGTATAAATTGTACTCTGCTATAAATTAATAATATATACATATATATGTATATATACTGTTCGATTAAATCTAACGTTAACGGTCATCGAAACGTCATACTTGCAGAACTTGGTAAACTCAATTTGGACTTAGCCAAAGCAAATTCCGATTTTGAACAGCATTTGTGTGAAGGTGAGAATAGTACTGCTGTACAAACCTTGCGATTCCTTCTCCTTCCATCTCCCTCTCACTCTCTAGCCCACCCCAGCCCGCAGCTCGTTTCTAACCGTAACAATATAAACAACGAAAAAGCGCTGCTAAACTCATTTCACGATGTGTTAAATACTATATTAATATTAGTAATAATAGTAATAATCCTTTGTGTTAGTATTCTTTCACTTCTAGTTTCAGTGTGCAATCCGCTACCCGCCGCACGCTCACCCGCAACTAAACCATATTCAACTGCAGCGTGGAAACTGGCTCCGCTGAGCTTTTGTCGCTGCGCTTGTGCTTTTACTAACGCCCTCTGGTTACACCCACGCCTCTGCCTATATACCCTGTGCCTTAATAGCGCTGATAAGTATTCTGCGTATCTACTCTGTTCAGAGAGTTGCCACCTAAGCACCTTGACCTCATCGAAGCAGTTTGTGAAGGTGCAGAAACAGTTCTATCGCGACTACTCTGACGTCTCATTGGGCGCTCCATTGAAAACCACTGACGCACCCTTGCTGGGTGATCTGTGTAATCGGTATCGCGATATACTCGCTCGAACATCTGCCGATTTGCTTGATCCGCGTGCAGGACAACAACAACAACAATTAAGTACCAATCGAGGCATTCACAGCTGTTGCAAACGTAGTCAATTGGAACATTTAGACAGTCACAACAATATGGCCCCATCGGATGAGACCGAATTTCAGCGTTTGCCCACATGCGTGGTGCCAACGCATTATGAGTTAATGCTACAGCCCGATCTGAAAGCCTTTAGTTTTACGGGCAAAACAATCGTGCAAATCAGTGTAAGTACCGTTGTATTGCATTTTGCTTAGTTAAGTTTATTTCTGCTTGTTTTCGTTCACTTTGCAGCCTCTGGCCACTTTCGCTTTCACTTTGAATATAAATCATAAATATGTATGCAAGTCTCTCTTGCTATCTCGCTCTCTCACTAAATGCTTGCTCGTGAATTTCATTTCTGACGTGTGAAAAAAAATACATTCTCCCTTACACACACATATAAACGCGCGCGGCAACTTGATTGTGTGTGGGTGCATTTATATGTGTGTTCCAATGATTTTCTCTTTATGTTGGAATTTGCATGCAGGCTACATTTGTTGAACATTTTTCTTTGTTATGCATTGGCAACAGCAATATGTATGTACATATATGTATGTGCCGCATTATTTCGTGCAACGTCCCTTTCACTAGTTCGTTCACATTGCCGACGCCTCTGCTGATCTCATAACGGTATACATATTGTGCTTGCGTTTATCGGAAGACGCGCTGCAACGGGTTTCGTGCTTTCAATTTTAAGCTCGAGTTGAGGACACTAACACTATATATGTATGTATAGTAAAAAAACATCAACAAAAATGCTCCTCTAAATCAAAGCCGCGGCCGCTGTTTCAACGGAAATAAAAATTAAATGTTTGCCAAAACGAGTTTACAGCGGCCCGGAAACCGGGCTAGCAGAAAAAAAAAATTGGCACACAGTAGATACTCAACAAGTGGAACACGCATAAGGCGGGCATCATATAGGTGTTTTAGTTTTAGTTTTATAAAAGTTTGTCATAGGTAATGAAAACCTCTCCATCATTTGTGACCTTGAAATAACGGCTTATTGTGAATCTGCGTACTTTAGAGTCATTGTCTTCTTATCAACAGTCATAAGATATATTTTTTTTAGATATAGTGTCGGCACTTATAATGCTTGTATGTATATATCTTAGTCTTTTGCGTCTTAATAGAGCGTTCAAACGTTGCTCAATATTCATTTATAGAAATGCTAATATTTAAACTAATGAAAATTGCTTGGAAAGCCATTATACGTAACGTATTAATTACCTCTTGCTCATAATCTGTCTTTTTAATAAATAAATATTTTTGTAGAGTATATATTTTAGTGCAGCACACCACTATTGTCTATGGTTTAATTTAATTATATATGTGTCTATATAATATACGATCGTTGACCTGTTGCACCTTTTTTGCGCGGCAGTTCCTCGAAGCATTTATAATGACAGTTATTATTATTTCGATTATTATTATTATGTATATTATCTTTTGCAGGTCATAGAGCCAACAACTCGCATTACCCTCAATGCGCTGGACATAACGATCGAGGGAGCAGAATTTCAATATGATTGCGAGAAGCTTAAGGCGCAGCAAATTATCTACTCCAAGGAGAAGGAGACGGCTACATTGGATTTTCAAAAGCAACTGCCTGTGGGCACGCCTGGCGTCCTATACATGACCTTCACCGGGGAGTTGAATGACAAGATGAAGGGCTTCTATAGGAGCAAATACTTTACGGCCTCTGGCGAGGAGCGCTATGCGGGAGTCACCCAATTCGAGGCAACGGATGCCCGTCGCTGCTTTCCCTGCTGGGATGAGCCGGCCATTAAGGCCACCTTCGACATAACGTTAACAGTGCCGAAGGATCGAGTTGCTCTGTCGAATATGCCAGTGAAAAAGGAGGATATCCTGCCTAGCGGTTTGCGTCGCGTGCGCTTTGATCGCACACCCATTATGTCTACTTACCTGGTGGCCGTTGTTGTGGGAGAATATGATTTTGTGGAGGCTAAGTCGGATGATGGAGTGCTTGTGCGCGTCTTCACACCTGTTGGAAAGAAGGAGCAAGGACAATTTGCCTTGGAGGTGGCCACCAGAGTGTTGCCCTACTACAAGAGCTATTTCAATATTGCATATCCGCTGCCTAAAATGGATTTGATTGCCATATCGGATTTCTCTGCAGGCGCCATGGAGAACTGGGGTCTGGTCACCTATCGTGAAACATTCGTCCTTGTAGATCCGAAGAATACTTCGTTGATGCGAAAGCAATCGATTGCTCTCACTGTGGGTCATGAGATTGCCCATCAGTGGTTCGGTGAGCGAATGATCAAAGTCTGTATGTAATCCTTGCTAATGTTCAGCTTTATTTCAGGCAACCTTGTCACCATGGAGTGGTGGACACATTTGTGGCTAAACGAGGGATACGCCTCCTTTGTGGAGTTCCTTTGCGTTCATCATCTGTTTCCCGAATATGACATTTGGACACAGTTTGTCACGGACATGTATACCCGTGCTTTGGAACTGGATTCGTTGAAGAACTCGCATCCCATTGAAGTGCCTGTGGGTCATCCCTCAGAGATTGATGAGATCTTTGACGAGATTAGCTATAACAAGGGTGCCTCGGTCATACGCATGCTCCACGATTACATTGGCGAGGATGATTTCCGCAAGGGAATGAATATTTATCTAACCAGGCATCAGTATAGCAACACTTGCACTGAGGATCTCTGGGAGGCTCTGCAGGAGGCCAGTTCCAAGAATGTGGGCGCTGTCATGTCTAGCTGGATCAAATACAAGGGCTTTCCCGTTGTCACCGTTGAGTCCAATCAGAAAAGCGAAACACAGCGTGTGCTGCGCTTGACTCAAAGTAAATTCACAGCGGATGGCTCGCAGCCGGCTAAAAATAACTTATGGGTGATACCCATTTCGGTGTCCACATCGCGTAATCCCAATCAGATTGCAAAGACTTTCCTTCTTGAAAAGGAATCCATGGAAGTTGTGCTGGATAATGTGAGTAGAGATGACTGGATCAAAATCAATCCAGGTACAGTTGGCTACTATCGCACTCGCTACTCCAAAGAGATGCTGGAAAAACTAATGCCCGCTGTGGAGAGTATGCAGCTGCCCCCGCTTGACAGACTCGGTCTGATCGATGATATGTTTGCCATGGTGCAGGCTGGCAAGGCCAGCACCGTCGATGTGCTCCGATTGGTGGGGAGCTATCGAAACGAGACGAACTATACTGTCTGGACAGCCATTACCAATTCGCTTGCCAATCTGCACATTCTGATCTCCCACACGGATCTCATGGATGACTTTAACATCTTTGGACGCAGCCTTTACGAGCCGGTAGCCGCGCGTTTGGGTTGGGAACCACGTGAAAATGAGAATCATTTGGACACGCTTCTGCGTAGTCTGGTACTCACTCGTCTGGTCTCCTTCCGCAGCCCGGTGATTTCAGAGACAGCTCGTAAACGTTTTCGTAGCCATGTCAACGGCACCAAGCTACTGCCTGCTGATTTGCGTAGCACTTGCTACAAGGCCGTGTTGCAAGATGG